CTCCCACTTTTGTTCCCTCCTTGCTCCTTGGAGGTTTAAGAACCCCACTCTAACAGGTGTATGTTCGTCACGCTTGCGTCTCCGTCGTCTGCTCCTTACTCTATGACCTCGCTCCGCCCATTCCGCGTCTTCAACCACTTTGGATCGGAGTGGGCCAATGCCCCCTACCACTGTTCCCTGTCCCTCAGCTGTTGACGCACAATCTCTGTCACCATTGCCTGCAGGGCAGATGGGGACAGCGTCGGTCCACAAACTTGCCTGGTATGTTGCGTTGGTGGCGCTTGTGGTAGCATCGGCGTGATAAACCCCGGGAATCCGACAGCTTCTTGTCGCGGTATCCTCGGCGAACACACTGACACCAGTTGGTCCATCAGTCTGGCGTGCGAGAATCCTTCCGGAGGCGGAAGCCTCTCTCTGCCAAGAAAGTGAGCTCGTGGCGGCGCTGCGTACCCATGTCCCCGGGAACAATCTGCTGAGCCGATGTCCTGCATCTGATGTCGTGGCCGTGGAGGCGCTGGCAATGCGCCCGTTGTAGAGAGGAAGAGAGTGCCATCCGGAACCCTTTGTTCGTGTAATGGAACCGGAGGCGCCCACGACATCGGTGCGACTCCTTGATGCTGCCATCTTTGATGGTGAGGCATTGACTTCGACTGATCTTGTGCACTCATCCTGCCTCTCGGCGTCTCGCCGGTTCCCTGCTCTTTTCCTCTTTGTTTTCCCGTATCGGCGTACCATCTCCCCCTTCGTCTGTCTAAAAAAAGGCTCGCCATCTCCGCTATGCGATGGCTTACTAGACTAATAACCTTATGCCCATAGAGCAGTTTGTCTTTCTGTAAGCCGTCGTTAGCAGCTACGTCCCTGCTGAGATCCACGAACTTAGCATGAATCTTTTTGCATAATACTTTTAGCTTGGCGTTTAGCAACATCACGCTCGCTTGCACCACCTTGCCTTTGCTGGTGACTTCTGGGACAGAACAGATAGCCAGGGATGCTTTACGCCTGCTCCACTTCCTTCTGATGATTTCCACAACATGGTCAGGTTGGTCTCCTCGCAGTACATCATTCAGGCCAACGTGCAAAATATACATGCGGGAGACCATCCGCGCCTGGCGTTCGTATCCGGCAATCATGCTATGGGCATCCTCAGTTGTCGCCTTTCTGTTGAGCAACACCTCAACGCTTCGCTTATCGTCCATCTTTTCGATAAAAGCTTGGGCAATTCTCTCCACATTGCTGTCCCCCACAAGCAGGACTTCTCGTTTAACTCCGCGAGGAGGTCTGTCCTTCACTTTTCCAGCATTTGTCGTTCCCTTTGTCGCCGGGCTGCTTTTACTGCGCGAGCATGAGTTATCCTGCACTTCCTCTGATTCTCCTTGTTCCGAAGTTGTGACGTTTTCTGCACTTAGTTTGCAGACAGTCTGACTGCAGTCATCCACTGCTTCTGAACGTGTCCTGTTCACTATGTCCTGCTGTTTTCCATCCTTCCTGAGCAACAGCAAGTCTTTGTACTGTGTCAAAAATGCAAGGTCCTCCTGATCCTTCTTTCTTCTATTGTCTCCGGCGTCATGTTCACGGTTCTTTTCACAATTCACTGGAGTTGTAGTCAAACTAACGCCATCAAGAAGGCTGTCCAAGGCTTTTTGAAGCTCTTCCACGCGATGTTCTAATTCGGCCACTCGGTCTTGAAGTTTTCGAATTGTGGTTGTTTCATTTGGTTCACCTTGAGGAGTTGCACCCTCTAACCTCTGGATAATCCCGTTCACACTGTCTGCCAGCGCATCCATCCTTGTCCTGTGTGAATTGTGTATCTCATCTAAGGCCTTGCATGTTCTGCAAACAAAATGAGCATCTTCAACCTCTTCATGAGTTTCAAACTCAGTCTCTGAAATGTAGGCCCACCGTCCGCACCTGTCACAGCTTATGAGAGGATCCCCTTTCGTCGCACCTTTCAGCCAATTTAGTTGTGAAGCCTGCTTGGGGATCTCGTCATTCAGTCGACGCTGCGTCACCTCGACCATCGCCCGTTCTGAAGTAGATGGAAGCGGTCTGTCCTGAATCCCAGCAGAGGTAGACATTGTCTCTAGGGGTGTTGCAAACGCTCCCTCACAGTCATTGATCATGCTAGCACCAGCTTTGCCGTCGGTTGAGGTAGGTAGAAGGCCCACCGGCACCACCGCTTCTGCGCTCAGCTCGCCGTCGCTGTCCCGTGATGTCTCCTCCCACTGTACAGCTGTTAGCAGATCGTTGGAGACTTCTGTGGCGGCTTGTAGTCGCTCTAATAGCTCGTTTTTAGAACCAACCGTTGAAAGTCCCCTTGCTTTAAGCTCCTGTTTAAGATCTGCGACCTTCATCTTCATCTTCACCTTCCGTAGCTGGGCGGTAGCAGTGCCGCCCAGTGACGATATTTGAATGTGGCGCATAGATTGGACCCGACCATGGCGCGGACACTCGATTTAGGCTCGTGATAATCGATAGCTCGAGGAGCATTCGGGTAGTGTCCTGTGTCCAATCGCTGCAATGACGACAACAGCCGAACCATAACAATGTCTGGAACTTAGCGCGTGTCCTGTGCCTTGCCAACCCCAGCGCATGGCTTGTTCTGGCTGCGAGATGAGGGGGTGAACTCTGCTCGTTTTCCTTTATTTTTTTCTGCGACTTCGATTGCTCGTGGCGAAAAACGAACGGGTATTTCACAGGTCATTAACGTCAGGGATCCGTTCTAAGCGGTATTTGCGCAAAATACAGAAATCGTTGCATCGCCCCTTTAAAGGGGCCGTACAGCGATATTCAATTGGAATCTTTTTCACTTTACACGAGCTTACTGGTACTAGAGGGGCTCAAGGATACTCGCAGGCAGGGCCACTGGCCAAGAAACTCCTTTTTTATGGTGTAACTTCAAGGACAAAAGCGAGCGTTTTTTTTTTTCAATCTCTCCTTCGCAAAACTTAATGACGTGGCTGGGCGGTCGCAGTACCGCCCAGTGACGATATTCAAATGCTCCTCACACAGTGGACGCGAAGACTGCGTATGCATTCGATCTGGGCTCGTGACAATCGATGCTTCGACACGCATTCGGGTACTGGCTTGTTACCAATCGCTGTACTGACGACAATAGCCGAGCCATAACAATGTCTGGAACTCAGCGCGTGTCCGGTGCTTTGCCAACCCCAGCGCGTGGCTATGATCAATATTGGCGGCAAGTGATCGGCTCCAGATCACGTGGCCAATCGTTCTGGCTGCGAGTTGAGGGGGTGAACACTGCCAGTTCTTATTTATTTTGTTTCTGCGACTTCTATTGAGTGTGGTGAAAAACGAACAGGCTTTTCACAGGTCATTATTGTCAGGGATCGGTTCTAGGCGGTATTTGTGCAATGTACAAAAACCGTTGCATCGCCCCTTTAATTACCCAGGAGCATATCACTTATCCATATGGAATAATAGTCCAGCGGCGATGCAATTCCGCAACCGGTGCACTAGTCTCTGCATGCCGTTTTAGGAGGATGAGGGTGCCCTTTGACGAGACCGCGAAGCCGCGCTGGAGTAGCTGCAGCTCCAAGATGTTTTGCCCCACCTACCTTACAGGCCGGATCTCGCGTAATCAAACTTCTGGCTGTTTCCTAAGATGAAGGAGCATCTGTAAGGTACGCGCTTGGCGCCCGACGAAGAGATCAATCATGCAGTGTGCTCTTGGTGCGTCAACAGCCAAGCTCATTCTATGACGCCACGCAGAGAACAGTGCACCGATGGTGGAAGTGTCTCGCCTCTGGAGGGAACTTTATCGAAAAGTGATGCGCTCCCATGAAAGAGAAGATTCCTAACCTTTAATTGTATGTAACACCTCTGAACTTCCTTACCGACTGAAGAAAGTAACAGCCCATGAAGCAAACCTTATTGAACACCCCTCGTAGAATACCGAGTTTCAAACTATAACAACGGTAAATAAAAGACCTGGCTTTGTTCGAGAAAGGTCGTGCGACATCTGCTGGTTCATCCGGAAGATTGGAATTTCCTTGGCGGTCGCAGTTTTAGCTCGAACAATGTGACACCGAAGAGGGTGCGGTAGAACAGGCCCTCTTCAGTACAAACCACTCTTCAATTTCTACCTTACGCCTCATTTTTGCGAGGACACTTTATTAGTCATGTACCTTTGTTGACCAATAAACAACAAGAACCCGCACGAACGAATCGTTATGTCATTGATATCCATTTTTAAAGCGTAGTACAGGGGGCACTCTTTGGACACCGCACTTGAGTGCGCTGTCTAAGAACGAGCTAGCACTTATACCTCATCATAGCCGCCTTTATTCTAGAAAGCCTGTCAAATCGCCAAAGATTGTGAGCGCTGCAAAGCGGAAAGGAGATTAAAGAAGAGGGCGTGGGCACGGGCTCTTTCTGGTAGCGCCAAACAACGCCCCAGCGGTACAAGCCGAAAACACGAGCGCGCTCCATTTTGTTTTCAGGAACGGAGAACATTCTGCGTTATCCCTTCTCTATTCCGCCCTTCTCGTTTCTCCACGGGCCAGTAGCCTCCTTTTTTTTTTTTGTTGAGGTTTATTGTTGTTTCTCGGGGAAGACACCGCGCGTATTTTTGGCATTGATTGTAGGGTTACTCCAGAAGTGGCTCTGCGCTACCATGCATATGGGTAGCCGTTTGGCGCTGCTCCTCGCTTTTTTTTCAGCGGCCGCGCGCTCATTGGTGATGTCGTGGAATTGGCAGGCTTTCTAGGATAAAGCAGGCTATGGTCTCATATACACCGGCGCTTGAACTGAATTCGCGAGACGGCTATGAACGCGGGCGCTCACCTAACAAAAGAGCGGATCCGCCTCGCGGATACCTTTCGAACGCATATGTAAATGTAGCATTACTGTCTGGCAAGACCGGAATCTTGTTGGCGTGGAATGCAGGCTGCGAAAGCAATGTAGAAGCTTGCTTCATCTCGCCCTCAGCAGCAAACAACTCAACTACGGCCGCCATTGAATACCCCCCCTTACGAAACGTGTTATTTCGCACAGCCGTAAAGAAGGTTGACTTTGATGACGTCAGTGTCTGTTAAGAAATTCTCAAGGTAGCCCTTGCCGAGAGTTGCGGGGTCAATATCGGGCGACTTGGGAATAAGCGTTGGAGTGGGCGGTGACTTGCTGAAAGCGTCCTGCGGGTAGTGCATCACAGACTCGTAGTCGTAGGGCTGACCCAGGGTGTCCGCGATCAGCTCTGTCTTCAGCTCAAAGCTTTGTTTGGCATCTACCGAAAAGATAGTCACAAGTATTAAGTGTACGTCCTTCATTCGGTTAAAAATCAATCAATCAAGTATCTTATTTTAGTCGTCTCTATACAGTTGTATATTTATATTGCATACATCTATTTATGGTGCGAAATACAAAAGTAACAAAAAGTGCGCTATAAAATTATATAAATAGTTTTTGTTGCGTATATTTTTTTAGTCGGTGACAGGTTAATAACCCACCAAACGTTGCGCCTTGAACGCGAACGTTCTACCTTTCATAACCCTTCGTTCCACGCGCAACCAAAGCCCCGTGGAAGGCCATTTGAATAAAACCTAAAACAGAACTGTTGAGCACTGAGCGAGACAGGACACTTTGGTGGGCTTAGCGTGATGCGCTCCGCTTTACTAACTCAGATATGTACAGACATGTCCTGTTTGAGAAGGCTCGGCGCTAGAAATGGTTGTGTATCGCGTTGGCACGCGAAAGTGCCTTGACCCATGCTCGCGCGTGCCGCGCGCTCTCACCCTACACTTTAGTACACAGCACCTTCCACCAAAACGTAGTCCTGCAACTACTGCGGATGACGCTGTTCACGCTGTGGGCGTCCTAACGACGAAACGCCTGGGGTTGAATTTGGAGACTGCGGATTCAAATAGGTTATCATGGAGTGACTCTTCCTTACTCGACGTGACGTGCGGCCCGACGTCTGGGCCAGTCGTTCCGAAGTCTGCCATGTCGCAGTTGCCCCTTGGAGTAGTGTTTAGCCTATCGCATTTTCTACTTCAGACATGATCGATGTGTCGCCACAACACACGTCCGTATTCAAGCTGTACCTGGTAAGAGACAGGTCACAACTGGCATAAAATCTTCCTTGGCAGCCAGCGGTTCCCGCTTGCGCTGAAATTCATTGCAAACAGGGGGCTTCCCTGCGTGAAATCTCAAACAGCCTTCCGACCGTCGATCTTAAAGGATGGCTTCGGACGCTGGGTCATAACTGACTGTTGATCAGGGTGTAGTTGATCCAAGGATGATCGTAGTTGTCGACCGAACAAAAACTCCGCGGGGCTCCTTACTGTTGAGGTGATTGGAAGAATGTGTTGCCCAAACAAGAACCTTGCCAGACGAATGGACCGGTCCCACCGAATTATTTTTTTAGTGACTTCTTCGTCTCTTCCACCATCCGTTCAGTTTGGCCATTCGAAGATGGGTGATACGATTCCACCAGGACTTGACGACAGCCGTTTCGACGGAGGAATTCCTTAAAATCGCCTGAAGTGAAGGCAGTACCATTGTCGGAGACCACCACGTCCGGCAGTTTGTGAGTAGCGAGTATGGTACGAAGTACAGTGACCACAGCCGAGGTGGACGTCGATTTGACTCTCAGGACTTCCAGCCATTTGGAGTGGGAATCCACTGCGATGAAAAAATACCCGCCCTGAGAGGGAGCCGCAAAGTCGACGTGCAGTCGCGACCACGGTCTTGTCGTAAATTCCTGCGGGTTGACGGGGGCGCGGGCTGGCCCGTTTCGGGATTCCTAACACGGAACGCAGCACCGCACTCGGCGTTCTATATCTTGGTCAAGTGACGGCCACCAGACATAACCCCTTGCAAAACAATTCATCCTCACGACCTTCAGATGACCGCTGCACAGTAGGTCCAACACGGATTTCTCGAAGAGGTGGGGTGCTGCCCTAGAGAATACAACCTTTATAAGCAGACAGAATTCGTCGCGGCGAGAGTAGTGAGGCCTGAAAACCTCTGGAGGTTTCTCAGATGGCCAACCGTGCAGGATCCAAAGCAGTACCAAGAAAGGACTCGATCCTTTTTCGTCAGAAAAGTCTCTTGTTTTGCGTCAATGTGTACCTCCGGCGTTGATTCCATGAGAAGAACGTCCCGAAGTGGAGGTATCTCAAAATTCTGATTCTTCTGAGGAAGACGGCTGAAAAGGTCAGTGTGCCCATCTGTTTCCCAGGTCTGTAAATGAGCTCAAAATCGTACTGGGCTAACGTCAGGCTCCAGTGCAGCAGACGCGGCAATCGTACCTGAGGAATTGGCTTGTTGTGATGCAGTAACCCCAGAAGAGGCATGTGGTCTGAAAAATCTTGAAATGTCGTCCATGCAAGAACTGCCGAAACTTATTCACACCAGCTACGACAGCAAACGCCTCACGATCTGTTTGCGATTAGTTTCTTGCGGCTTTTGTCATCGTTCTTGATCCAAAGGCCACGGGGAATTCTTCACCCGACGGTGACACATGGCTTATGACGAAACCGAGGCCTTACGAAGAAGTGTTGCAAGCCAATATTAAGGGACGCTCGACGTCGTAATGTGGCAACACGGTCGAAGACTGTAAAAGATATTTGGCTCGTTGGAAAGCTACCACTTCCTCTTCCCGCTTCCCCTATGCACCTTGGTCCAGCAAACGATGTAGGGTTCCCAGACTTGAGAAGCCCCTTCAATAAGCGGCCGTAAAAGTTCAGAAGTCCAAGGAAGGATTGCAACAGTTGTTTATCTTGTGGTTCTGGAGCGGCCTGAATAGCCTGAACCTTGTCTTCAGTGGGGTGAATGTTTTCCTTATCAATTTTGTATCCAAGGAAAGACACTTGAGGTCCTCTAAAACTGCACTTGTCCTGGTTTGGGCGCAGCCCGTCGTCCTTGATTCTTTTCAGCACAGCCCGGAGACGAGACTCGTGTTCTTCATCGTTCTGACCGCCGATCACAATATCGTCGAGAAACACTAAGACACCTTCGCATTCAGCAAGAAGCTCTCCCATATAGCGTTGGAAGATGGCTACAGCCGTAGCGACGCCGAGCTGCAGACGGGTGACCCTGAAGGGACCCCGATGAGTGTTGACTGTTGGGAGGTCCGCTGTAACTTGGTCCATTACCTTCTGGTGGTAATTCCCTGTTCTAGATCCAACTGTGAAAACCTCTCACAGCCAGCCAGTTTGGCGACCAGTTGATCGACAGTTGGCAAAGGGTACGTTTCAAATCGAATGACTAGGTTCACTGTCCATTTGTGATCACCGCACAAGTGAATGTTCCCGTTCTTTTTGAGAATGGCCACGACTTGGTGTCATGGTTCAGGTCAATCGTATGAGTGAAATAGGAGAATGCACGGTCGACAGTATAAATTAATTTATATAAGACAGCGACATACGTAAATAGAAAGGATGACTAATGCCTAGGTATTGACAGAGGCACAGTTAGAAATGTTTTGAATTCTCACGTCCCTCTTCAGGTTCAAGCGCTGAAGTCACCAGTCTCCGTTGAAACTTGATGATGTTTTCTCGACGGAATCATATGCTTTGTACCAGGGGTTGCTGCCGAAGTATCTTCAGGCTCTGTTGGAGGTGGTCCAGGTTATGCCAAGAAAGTATCTGCTGGGTACTAGGGTTCGTCGCCCTGATACTTTAGATCCTTGCAGAGAGCTGTGGGTCCGAGTTACGGTGGAGTCTTCTTGCACCTGTGGTTCACGGCGGAGGACTGCAGCTTTCTAGGGTCATCGTCGAATTCGTCTGCATCTGCGGGTTACGGCCCAGGGGGGTATGTTGCGCTTTTTGCACTCCCAGGAGACTAGGGAAAGGGAAGTGGCGTCAACGACACAGCAAACGCAGATTGGGTGTTGATTTCGTCTTCTTCTGTCAACATCCAATCTGCATTTGCTGTGTCGTTGACGTCACTTCCCTCTTCCAAGTCTCCTGGGAGTGCAAAAAGCGCAACATAGCACTCCAGGTATGAAACGCCTCCTGTCTCGGGGCACCGTCGAATCCGCCTCCTGCTCGAGCTCCATTTTCTTGAGCCTCCTCTTTTTTTCCTCTTCACTTTTTTCCGCCTAACCTGGCACCCTTTCTCTTCCTCCACTTCTCCTTTTCACAACGTAACGTGACACTAATTTGCGAGCCCCGTTCCGTCACCCCAACAGCTAAAACAATTCATTACGGTCAGTCCGCGGTCGCCCATGAGGAATGCCGTAATGGTTCGAAAATTCATTATTTGACCAGTTTGTCTCGTCGACCTTCGGCATCAGCGGAAGTGGAATCTGACGGGCCTTGAAAAATTTGGAAGTCGCGGCAGGGTCAACATTCACACGAACAGGAGGTCTCCTGCTTCTTCCGAGTCTTGGCTGAAAAAGCTCGGGAAACTTGTCAACCACGTTGTGAACCGTAGCCGCTTCCGCCTGAGGCGGCGTTGTGTCGACATGAAGGACCCCTTCCAAGGAGATGCTCAAGGGCCGAAACCAGTCCCGCCCTAGCAGGCTCACACAAACCCACTGACAACCACAAGTTGCAATTTCATTTTCTTCTCTTTGAAGGACACGTCGGCTGTTACACTTCCGAGAACTTTGAGGCTTTGCTGTGCAAAGGAGCGTAGTCGGGAGGCGCATGGTTTGACACACTGAATAACGCATATCAGAGATGTTTCAGGACTACCTGACTAATGGTGCCAGTTGCCAGTCTCATGCAAGAAAACGCAACGTGTCTGAGAATAATCAAACACAGATGTTTGCCACAGCGCTGCATCCATTCAAGTCAGCGCTTCGTCAATGCACTTCGTAGTGCTGATTTAGCGCTGCAATGTATACGTGAACCGGCATGTCATGATATCTTATCTGTGACCTCCAGGCCGGAGATGGCCACGCCGTGACATCACGAGTTGTAATTCTGGCTGCTTATGTGATCAGTTGCAAACAGATTTCGACAGCGCGCGTAAAGAGCGGTGAAAGCTTCGAATCGTAGCATACTTAAACTAACACGGTCAGCGACGACTGTCTGACGTTACTCTTATTTCCGCCAATAGAGGCAAGATTAGGGACTTTTAGCAAACCGTTACCTTCTTCCGCGTACCGCACTACTGGAGCCTTTGAAGCATGCTTTTAGAGGGGCCATGAAATTAATATTGGGCTGGGATAAATAATTTTAGATTGGACTTTACTAATCACATATCGTTTAGTGGGCCAAAAGAAAGAGGGTGTAAAGTCAAAAACTAGTTTTTCGGTAAGAAAATTTAAAAATATAACAGACAATTTCGTACCTCCTGTTTTTCAAAAGCTCTCCGCCATTTCACTATGATAATCCGTGGTACCCAAACACATCAGCCGACCTCAAAACACGTCAGCTGAACCCAGCTCACGCATTAGACGTGAGAACTGCGTCCCTTGAACGGATGCGCACGTCAACAGTCAATCCGTCGACGAATAAATAGCTTCGCATTTGTGGCCAATAAGTTCCCTGACGGAACTTATCAGCACCTGCCAACGAAAAGTTCTGTGGTGAGCTTAAAAAGCACGATGGAAGCTTGGAGACGTCGCACCGTTGCCCAAGCATGTACCGACGACGCCCTTTCTCAATTTGTTTTTGAGTTGACGGTTAAAGCGGAGGAGGAAGAAGTTGACAAATCGTTTCATGGCCCCTTTAAGCGCGCGCCCCACGGTCACGCTACCACTAGGGCGCGCGCTTAAAAGCATACTTCAAAGTACAGTGGCTCCTGTAGTGCGGTACGCGGAACACGGTCACGGTTTAGTAAACATACCTATTAAAAGGGTTATGACTCGAAAATTAAACGGATAGATTATTCTTGAAATGGAATGCTCATAGGCTACTTAGTATATGAAGCAAGTTACGCGATTTTTAGAGCTCTAATAATTGCAATAATCAATTTACGAATTTTTATCATTTTCATCTGGCGACCAGGCAACACTGCCCAAGTTAGTCACACCATGGTGTCCATAAACCACGCGATCATGAACGCTCTCTCGTTCTAGGCGCTCCTATGATCGCCAAAGCTCTTCTCTCCACGGTGCGATCAAAACCGCTCACGCAACTCGGCAACCTAAAGGTGTTTTTTTTATCCGTAACATGGGTCTAAAGTATCAAACTGCCACGCTATTCTCGTTCTTGCCCCCGGCCCGTTGACCTGCCACCGTACACGCGCCTGCGAGATATTCCCGGACGACGGTGCCCACGGCGTGTTCGTCGGTAACTCGTCGTCACTGGAGCTCGTCGCCAGCGGGCTGTTGTCACAATGAATAGCTTCCAACATCTCTTGACAGCAATCACTCTCATCGCTGCTCCGATCAATGTCGAACACTTTAACAAGGCGAGCGATGCCGTAGACATAATCGTCACGGGCCGCATGCTCGAAACGCGAAAGATAAACGAGGAAGCTGAAGCTTGAGATGCCAAGAGAGCCAAGTCTGTGAGTGCGTGCAAGGGGACACCACGTGGGAGGCTGGCTCCGTGGCCAGCCTCCTGCTCCGCCGGGAACCGCCCTTCCGAGGGATCCGCATATAAATCGATTTAACCATGAAACTATCAAGCTTTTTTCAAAACAAATTTAGCAGGATTATAGGAGCATACAATGGGTCCTAGCAGTATTGTTATCTCATATTTTTTGTTTTTGGCATGTCATCACCCCTTTAAGTGAAACAAAAACGTAATTTGAGAGTTCGCTGGAACGTCGACCGCAGCGACAGTTTTGATTGCGCACGTCGCCATTAGTCACTGACAGGGTAAGGACGGCAGGGAGGTCTTTTAGTTGCGACAACTAAAAGACCTCCCTGCCGTCCTTACCCTGTAATACCCCATTCACACGATCATAAAGGTACCTTTAGCTAAAGGACCTTTATGCTCAGCGGCGAATCAGCTCGTGATCACCCGCGCGTGGCATGTGCTCGCGATCCATCAGCGCGGGTTGATTCGCCGATTGGAAAGGGACCTATGTTAAAGGTACCTTTATGCTGGTCGTGTGAATAGGGTATAAGAGCTTCTTACTTTTAATAACGCTTCTGCGTTTTTTGAGCGCCAAGTGTGCACGCGCAGATAAACTATGACGGAAAGCCAGATGTCACGAGCGTGTGCAAGATTATGTGCATCTGAAAGATGTAGTCCTGAGTAAATTGTCTTGTAAGTGATTATATCGGTTGGTGAAAGATGTTGCCGTACCTTCTTCGATGTTGTTCCATTGAATGGAGATGTAGCTGTCCCTGTCAGGTCGACTGTGCTCGTGGAAGAATCCAATGGCGTGCATCAGCTCGTGTACCGACTGGCCAACGTTAGGGCAGCGATACAGGTCCAGTGCCAGGGCTTGCTCCTCGCCCTGCATGCCGACGAACGAGGCGCATCGGCCGCTGCGTTGCGCAAGAAAGACATCTGTAAGCTTTGTGGTTACGCTGCCTCGCGCAGATGTTATAGAAATATATTAACAGAAAGTAACAGTTCCCGTATATAGTGCATGACACAAAATCACGAGAATCTAGGCGAGCAAAAATAAGAATAGATAAGCAATAGACCGATGTCACCAAGCGAACTGCTCAGGCGTGCACATTCCGGAAGTGGTGCCGCCCCATGCTACTTGTAGTCATTGCTTTCCGGCTTCCCAGCTGCATAGGGCTCTGGTGTGCGTACATCATCGTACACCATCGTTTCGGACGCCACGGTATCAGCTTGGATTCTCCTGCATGTCTGTGCTTCATAAGCGTGTGTTTTAGAGCGCAGCTCTTAAGCGCCCGTTTCCGGCTTGAGCGGCGTCGCCGTCGGCGCAACCAAGGTCACCCCAAGGTCACGTGACCCCTCAAGGTCACCTCAAGGTCACGTGACCTTGGGGTGACCTTGGGGCATACAATGGGTCCTAGCGGTATTGTTATCCCATGACGAAACCGAGGCCGTACGAGGAAGTGTTGCAAGCCAATATTAAGGGACGCTCGACGTCGTAATGTGGCAACACAGTCGAAGACTGTAACAAAGATATTTGGCTCGTCGGAAAGCTACCACTTCCTTTTCCCGCAAACCTATGCACCTTGGTCCAGCAGACGACGTAGGGGTTCCCAGACGTGAGAAGCCCCTTCAATAAACGGCCGTAAATGTTCAGAAGTCCAAGGAAGGATTGCAACAGTTGTTTGTCTTGTGGTTCTGGAGCGGTCTGAACAGCCTGAATCTTGTCTTCAGTGGGGTGAATGCCTTCCTTGTCAATTTTGTATCCCTGGAAAGACACTTGAGGTCCTCCAAAACTGCACTTGTCCTTGTTTAGGCGCAGCCCGTCGTCCTTGATTCTTTCAGCACAGCCCGGAGACGAGACTCGTGTTCTTCATCGTTCTGACCGCCGATCACAATATTTTATTTTATTTATTTATTTATTGATACTGCCGGCCGCTAATACGCAGCCAAGGCAGGAGATATACACAATAAAATGCACTTGAAAATAAAATACATAGGTGTGGTGGCGTTACAACTCGTAGAGGAATAAAGGGCCAACAGATGCCCTTGATAGGATTCTTCCCATGCAAAGAATGACTACACAAAAGGATCTTTTACAACTACATGTCACAAAAACACACGCAAACATTAAAAAAAAAACACAGTACAAACCTATAAAAAAAAGAAATCGTCGAGAAACACTAAGACACCTTCGAATTCAGCAAGAAGCTCTCCCATATGGCGTTGGAAGATGGCTACAGCCGTAGCGACGCCGAGCTGCAGACGGGTGACCCTGAAGGGACCCCGATGAGTGTTGACTGTTGGGAGGTCCGCTGAAACTTGGTCCATTACCTTCTGGTGGTAATTCCCTGTTCTAGATCCAACTGTGAAAACCTCTCACAGCCAGCCAGTTTGGCGACCAGTTGATTGGCAGTTGGCAAAGGGTACGTTTCCCATCGAATGACTAGGTTCACTGTCCATTTGTGATCACCGCACAAGTGAATGTTCCCGTTCTTTTTGAGAATGGCCACGACTTGGTGTCATGGTTCAGGTCAACCGTATGAGTGAAATAGGAGAATGCACGGTCGACAGTATAAATTAATTTATATAAGACAGCGACATACGTAAATAGAAAAGATGACTAATGCCTAGGTATTGACAGAGGCACAGTTAGAAATGTTTTGAATTCTCACGTCCCTCTTCAGTTTCAAGCGCTGAAGTCCCCAGTGTCCGTTGAAACTTGATGATGTTTTCTCGACGGAATCATATGCTTTGTACCAGCGGTCGCTGCCGAGGTATCTTCAGGCTCTGTTAGAGGTGGTCCAGGGTATGCCAAGGAAGTATCTGCTGGGTACCAGGGTTCGGTCGCCTTGATACTTTAGATCCCTGCAGAGGGCTGTGGGTCCGAGTTACGGTGAAGTCTTCTTCTGCAGAGGGCTGTGGGTCCGAGTTACGGTGGAGTCTGAGTTACGGCCACGTGACCCTTGGGGGGTCACGTGACCCCCAAGGTCACGTGACCCCTCCCAAAGTCACCCCAGGGTCACGTGATCCCCAGGTCACGTGACTCCCCATGTCACGTGTCCCCTCCCAAGGCCACTCCAAGGCCACGTGACCCCCCAAGGTCACGCGATCCCCGAGGTCACGTGGCCCCCCTCCCCGAGGTCACGTGACCCCCCGAAATCACGTGACCCCCTCCCTTCGCGGTCAGGTGACCTCCCCGGAGCATATTAAAGAATGAGGGGAGGAGTAGAAGAAGGAGGAGGAGGAGAAGGAAGAAAGGGTCTACCCTCCCCTCAGTACCGTTCCCTCCTCCTCCTCAAGAGCTGCGCTCCGATTCGGCGTTACAGGGAGTTGTAAACGGCTTTCACTTTTTTTGTGACGCCTTAGTTTGTCAGAAAGCAGTTCCAGTCGTCTTATTGCTCTAGAATTGCTTTGTCGTCAGAATCGTGGTGGTCTCATTCTTCGTCTTTGTGAACATTTCAACCCACTGCGTTCACACGGTGACGGTAGTCCCACTGCGGCCGTGAAAAAAAAAAACGGCGACATCACTACTCGAGCACTCCGGCTCCTCGGACATCTCAATAAACTTAAAAACAAGTGAACATCTAGCTCAATAGCAAAGAACATGAACATGGGAGGGACCATCGGCTCGGTGTAGCACCGCGGAACAGCATCAAATGTGTCGGTGGAGAACTGAGGTTTGTAGTACTCAGGTTTGTGCATAAAGTTTAATGAAGAATGAAGTAAAAAGAGCTAAATAGATCTTCTCGCGAAGCGATAGTTTTCTAAAGCCCGCTTCATTCCGGTTGACAGCCTCTGCTGCAGGGCTGGGATGAATTGCTGGGAGGAGCCTGCACACAATTGGAAGAAGCGATCTACAGAAAGACCATGCCTGACGCGCCGTAACAACTCGCATCTGCCAAAAAAAAAAAAAAAAAAAGGAACCATGTTAGGTACCTGCAATTTTTTGGGCGGATATAAGTTTTTGTGTACAGTTTATATTCGGTTTTATTTTATTTGTGCAAGCTCCAAACGCTAACAGTCGCCCGACGGTGGAAGCTCTTTTCCGTGGTTTCCATTGGTGTTAACGCAGAATGCATCAGTAAAGTCGGGCTAATAGACCGCTACAGTGTGGGTGAGGTTAAGGTTTGTTACTTTCTTGGGAATAGGTTTACACTTCTGAATTGTATTATGCAGTGTTTTCACGTTTTGTTTAAAAAAAAAAGTGAAGACTGCTTCCGAAAAATCGGGAATCGTTGCCTTTTTACTGATTGTCCTGATCTCTTAAATCGAAGTTGTGCTTGAGTTACGTCGGCGTAATAACAGTTGAAACCACCAAAATACATTGAAAAAAATGAATTAAAGAGGACCGCCGCAAAGCAGTGCGGATGTCCCGATTGAGGTAGACAACGAATAGACTGCTACGAAGCGAGTGCTCAGGGAGATTACAACGTACAGAGCACTTCGGCATGCCCTCCTACGTCTCGTGCCCTGTAATCTTACACTTTTTAGCTAAAATGAAATGGGGTGGATGTAAATTATGAAGCAAAAAGGAAATCGCGAAATATAAAAAAAAAGAAGTTTGTTTTCCTGTTTCTTATTTTGGTTCTATTCAACTTTTATAACCACTCTTTTCGGGGGCCGCTTTCTTTCGTGAAGACAAATTTTGAAGCCTTTTTGCCTGATGCTGTTATGGCAGCACCCTGGGGCAGTTTGCTTATCCTGCGGCCAAGAGGGACTTTTATGTCACGTGACCAGCTCCATGGCGACAGGAAGTATTTAACGTCCCTGCCTAATGGCTGGGAAATCCGTGTCGCGTCGAGTGCCAAAGTCTAATTTCGCTCGCAGAAACTGACCGAAGAGAGTTTGAACTGAAGTCCAATTAACCGCCCCATCATACTTTAGGAGCGGCAGGTAAAGTTACGGCCAGGGAAGGTAAATATGCCGTGTCTGATAAAACTGGCGTCTTGGCAGTTGAGCCAAGCCCCGGGCTAGGTTTCCTTCAAAGGCCCCCCAGGTTAGGCAACATACCACCCCAGCCCGCTCTCCGCACAAACAGGTGTCCTGCGTTGGTTCGCCCAGGATGATTCTGTCAGTCGCTTTGCTTCACCTCTTCTTTCTTCTGACGTTCTTCTCCATCCCTGTTTTCAACCCCCACCTTTCAGAATTAACAAAATTATTTGAAAGTGAAGAGGAATTATATAGCCCATGGGTGTTGAAAACCACCGGGGTGTGGCATGATGACACCAAATACTTTACTATGGAAATAGCTCACCCCTTGAAAATCCAATGGCCTTGGCACGAACAGGCTTTGCGTGGTTGAACCGACTGGATGTGCAGCAGCCTCAGGTTTTTCGCCTTTGAATAGACGAATTTCACCAGCTAGGTTCGTTAAGCCGCCGCTGCCACAATGCATCAAAGGAACTTTAGTCTTTTTGCATGTGAGAGAACCCCGCTGGAGCATTGCGCGTGACAACACGACACGAGCCCCCCATTTCGTGCACTGCATCATGCCTCCTGTGAACTAAAGTTATGGCGGCATCACGCATGCGTGGAACGCTTAGTGAGATCTGTCTATCAAGACAATTGATGGCAACAATAGATGACTGTTGCCATCTATGGTTGCGGACACCTGGAGCACTAGTCGAGACAGCTGCCTCCACTGTCTCGGCAAACCCGGTATCTCGGTGTGCCCACGGCAGCCCTCTTTCTTGGTGCGGCATGACTGCAGTATGGCGTGGACGGTGTGATCCTCATGCATTGTCTCAGATGCTTGGTGTCTACACCGCTAAGAGAGCAACATTTGACACTGTGGGTGTGCTGGCATGAATGAATGGAGACAAATGTATTTTTCCTGGTAAAGTATTTGGTGACACTGTCAACTGGCATACTTGAAGCCAGGCTAGCAATGGCCGTGGTGAGGTGACTCGCATCC